GTTTCTGTTCATTTACAATTGCCAAAACTATATCATATAATCTCTCATATAATGTTGACGCCCTCCTTTTGTTTCCTTTATCAGCTTGTCTTTAATTCTCAGCAGTGGTATCAAATGTTTTGCAAATAGTATTTCATAGTCCATAAAATCTTTGATATTTTCTTCTCCTATGCTCTCTGGGGCATTTTTGCGGCTCCTGCCATCTTCCTTCTCTTGCATTTCTGACTTTAGATGCAGCAGCAGCAGCAGCAAATGCAGCGAATTGCTCAGATGCAACAGCTGCAGCAGCAGGCTGTTCAGGCTGCTCAAGCGCAGCAGCAGCAGCAGCAAATGCAGCGAATTGCTCAGATGCAACAGCTGCAGCAGCAGGCTGTTCAGGCTGCTCAAGCCCAGCAGCAGCAGCAGCAGCAGCAGCAGCAGCAGCAGCAGCAGCAGCAGCCAGCACCGCAACCACCACCTCAGCCGCCACCCCCACAACCAATGCAGCAGCAGGTGGCCCAGGCCCCGTCTCAGTCGCTTCCTCCTCAGCCCATGGTCTCCCAGGCCCAGACTGTTCCGGGACAGATCCCTGGCCAGGTCATGTCCATGGCCATCCTGCCAGCGCAACTAAAAGCCATGCAGGTAAGGGGTCAGGATGGCTGCCTCTCATTGCCCGTGTCCGTTTTTCCAGTTGCCTCTAAAGTAACATAGAATGGTCAAAGAAAACAGGGAAATGGTTAAGATTAACAGAAGTAGCGAAAATGCAGGACAGTTTTGATGGAAATAAAAATTAATTGTAAAACGAAGAAAAAAGGCTAAGGAAGTCTTCAACAGAAAGCATGAAACTGAAACGTATGAAATTATTTGCAATGCAGCTCAGGTCAGAGATACTATAGCTGGGGATAACTTTTTTAGAAGTTGTAAGGAAATACTGTTGATTTCAGGAGCTGGATAATGATATAAATGTTAAGGTTTTAAAAATGATGAAAAGGAAGGGTAAAAATGAAGCTGTTGAACAATTGTAAGTTTAGACGGTGTATATTGAGGGATGTTAAAGCATGATAAATGAATAGTTGTGAATTCAGAAAATTTTGCAAGAATGTGAAACTCCACATTCTTGTGGAGTTTTGTTGATTGTAATTGAAAGTTGCATTTGATGAAAATAAAATTTATGAAAATGTAGATGAGATGCCTGGCAATGTTTAGCACTGAGATGATGTTCCCTTGCTTAGAAGAATATATTGTGGATTAAAGATATGTAAAATGCTTGTGGTGATGGAGTGTAGAGAGACAAAAATGTATAGCTTGTTAGTTAAAACCTGGTTTTCAGCAAATCTTTAATAGATAATACAATACAACAAGGGATAAAAGATATGAAAATTAATGTATCAAAGAGTGGGATAAATGTGTTTCTCAGGGAAAATGAAGCAAACAGTTCCGTGTGTGTATAAAACAAAAAATAGATGACAATTTTTTTTTCTAAGTGAGTAAATGAAGAAATGCAAATCCCGGTGAAAAGCAAGTGACCATATGAAGTAAGCATATTGTGATAGTTTGATCATAGATAGAGAAATAATGAGGACCAAAACGAAGTCCAAGAAAATTGGTTTTGCTGGAGAGATGAGACATTTGAACAGTAAAATTATCAGGTAACGTATAGTAAAACCAAGATTGCTTTGCAAGATAGAGAGTATTGAGGAATTCAGTAACTAGTGCTGATGTAACTTAATTTTGTTTTTTTTCTATCTCCTGTCTTTTAATTTTTTTCTTTGTGTCTGAAAGGTAATGGGTGTGAAATGATATGCCTGTGCTTTAATATCAGATTCATGTTTGTGGGCAACAGTTTCTGGGTTTGCAGTTCACAAACTTGGGCAATTCTCAGTGTTTTGAAGCCTAGCAGACCAGAGGAGGCCTTGCTAGGCTTCTCCTGGCAGCCTCGGCATTTTTGCGCATGGAGCCAGCATGCTCCCCATCCAGGCTCCCTCTGTGGGATCCCCAAATTTGTAGCAGGCCTGAAAGAAATCCTTCAGCTGGGTCTTGGAAGCAGCTGCCAGGCTCCCCAGGAATCAGGCCATGTCTCGGCACAGATGGGAAAGTGACGGACGGGAGTCCCTGCACGTTGGAGAAACAGCCATGAGGTTGAGCACTGTGGGATCCACTCTTGGTTCTGTTCCTTAAGGCCAGAGCTTTGCAGCAGCAGCAGCAGCAGCAGCAGCAGCAGCAGCAGCAGCAGCAGCAGCAGCAGCAACAGGTGGCTTCCCAAGTCCAGGCTGCCCAGATGGGAGCATCGAGCCAGGTAAGCTGCTCGCTGCAGAAGCTGCAGGCTGGATGGGGCCCCTTTCCTAGTCCTGTGGAGAGGAGGAGGCCACTTCAGTTCCCTTCTGCCCTTCTTTGGAGTGCAGTTTCTGCCTGCTGCAGTGGGGGAAGCAGGCGCTGTTGCCCTGTGCTTGGTAAGGCCCCCAGGCCGCTTTAGAGGGATTTCCTGGATTTTCCCGAAAGAGGTTTGGTGGCCCCTTTCTCCCTGTTCCTGAGTGAGAGCGCCATTCCTCCTACCAGAAGCTTTGGTTGGATGCTCCTCCCCCTTCTTTGTTCTGGATAACCTGAATTTGAGGGGCCGCCTTCTTCCAGAGAGCCAGCTGCATGTGGCACTGATCGTGGCCCTGTTGTGCTAGGCTGGCGACTCATTTCCAGCATGCTGCCTCATATGCCAGCTGTTCTTCCAGGAAAAGACAACTAAGAATCTGGCTGGAAGCAGGAAGAGATTCCTGGAACTGATCCCTGTGCAGCCTTCCCCTTCCTGGCTCACTCGGAGTTCTTCCTGGAGGGGCTCTTGAAGGCCTTGGCCCACAGCAGATGTGGCCCCATGGCTGGCAAGAGAGCCAGTCCTGGAAATCATTTCCTCAGGTGGCGTTTGACCTGAGAGGCTCCGAGGAGCAGGAGGAGGAGGAGGGGTCCCTGGGGAGACTCTTTCTCCTTCCCAGCATCCTGGCCACGGGCCCTCGACAGAAGGCTTCGGTCTTGCTGGCATCGGGTATAAACTGTTACCTCCACCTGGCCCTCAGAAGCCTCTTCAAGGGAGGCCCCTCTGCTTTTCTCAGGAAGCGTGGAAGGCCAGGCGGGGGTAGTTTGAGGAAGGGGCCAAGCAGAGGAGGGCCTTGGGGAGGGCTGGACCCCTCTTGCGCAAAGTGGAGAGCAGGGAGGAGAGTGCTGGGATTTTCAGAGCTCTGCAGAAATCCTTCCCTTAAAAAAGGGAAGCCAAGGGGCTTCCATTGGGGATTTAACCTAAAACCCCGAATTCTGTGTTTGTCCACCTTGGCAACTTGAAGCCATGCTGGCTGGGGAATTCTGGGAGTTGAAGTCCACACATCTTAAAGTTGCAGAGGCTGAGAAAGACATGGGAGGAAGACTAAGAGGCCAGTTGCTCTTTGAATGCCTGCGAGCAGATTTGAATGGGGAGATGCGAGGTCCCCTTCTGGGTTGCGGGCTGCAGGTAGTCCTTGACTTACGACCACAATTGAGCCCAACATTTTCATTGCTGAACAAGGCAGGGGGTTAAATGAATTGCACCTCATTTTACAGTTGTCTTTGCCACAGTCAATAAGCAAATCACTGCAGTTGTTAAATGAATCTTTCATTAAGCAAATCCGGCTCCCCCCGTTGACTTTGCTTGTCTGAAGCTGGTTGGGAAGGCTGCACAGGGGGATCAGGGACAGACCAACGGTCGTAAATACAGGCCACTTGCCAAATCTTGATCACATGACACAGGGATGCCGCAAAGGTTGCAATGGTGGAATGTGGTCATAAGTCACTTATAAGTGCCGTTGTAACCTCAAGGACTCACTAAATGAATGGCCGTAAGTTGGTGACCGCCTGTCTCTGCCTCTCCTTGCCTCCCTCTACTCGGCTCTGGCTTGGATGGGCCCCTAGGTGTTCAAACGAAGAGCCTCCTGGATGTCTCTCTCCCTCCCTCCCTCCCTCCCTCCCCCCCCCCCTCTGGCTTGTCCTATCAAACATGTGTCTTGGGGTGGGGGGTGTCTCTCCTACCCCTCAGAAACCCCCACGTGAAGTTTCAGCCTGTGCAGCAGCGAGAGAGACGCCATCTGAGAAGGGAGCCCTCCCTGGATTCCTCTGGGGAAAGCATCCAGAGCATCAGGCCCAGAGGGCTCAGCGGGGGCCTGGCCTGTCCTCTGCTGGGGGACGGGAAGCTGATTGGGGGGGGGGGGGCTCGCAAGGAGCTCATAGTGGCTGACTGGTTGCTTTTGCAGAGTGAGGAAGGGTCTCAAAGGAAGGAGCTTGGCAGAGGCCAAAGGGCTGCTTGCATCTCAAACATTGTAGATGGGATGAAGGATAATGCAAAATCCTAACAAAATAAAAGGAGAGGCTTCTGGGAGCCGAAGGGCTGGCTCTGCTCCCTCATCCGGCTTGTGTTCTTGGAAAACTTTTTTGCAAGCGATCCCGTTCTCCAGCACTGGCATCTTTGCATGGCTTTTCGTGTCCTGTGGTCCTTTCTGGAAACGTGGACTGTGCCATGCAGCTCCCTGAGCTTCTTCCATGCCGTTTCCCCTTTCCAAGGAAGCCTATTTGGTTAGAGGCCGCCATAGGTCTAACTGGGTCATACGAGCCTTGGCAAGGGAAGGCTGGGAGTAGAAGAGCCCCAGCTGCCAACAGCTGCAGCTCCGGAAATAACCGATGACCATAAGGAGGGGCTCCCCAGGCCACCAAGGAGAGGAAGACAGTAAAAGGAGGGCAAGGGCTGCCAGCAGGCGCTGTGCTTGGGGCCTCCCCTCCCCCTTTCCTTTCTTTTACCTGCTTTCCTAAAATGAGCAGGAGGCAGGCTGGGACACTGCGGAGCAAGTACAACCTCTCTACTTGGCCTTTTTAAAGAAAGCCTCTTGGCATGCTTAGGGAAGGAAAGGGGGACAACAACAGCGCACACAACACACACACACACCAGCCCTTGGACACATCTCGGGAGGAGAGAAGGGCAGAAGCTGGAGGGGTAGAAAGCTACACCGAGCAACCCACTCTTGAGAGGGAGCCCCAAATCTGCTGAAAGCTCCAGTGTGCCCAGTTGGCTCCAAAATGGCCTCCACCCTGACCAGAAGGCCCCCTGGGGCAGCTTTGAGAGTGGGGGAAGGAGGAGTGGCTTCTTCACCTTCCCTCGGATGAAACTATTGGGGGCATCTCACTTTATTGTCCCTCAGCAGCCGCCTGGCCAGAACTGGGGGAGCCAAGCACCTGCAGGTGGGCTTCTGGCCTTGGCTGCCGCTTTCTCCTTCCGAAGCCACCGGGGGCGACTGCTGAGCGTCAGTGTCTTTTCTAGGGGACGATGTGCTCCTGGGCTGAGCGGGTCTTTGCAACTTTGGCCCCTCTCCCTTTTGATAATTCCACATCTCTCCAGAGGTGATTCTTACTATGTGCCGTGGGATCTCTGGAGCAGAGAAGAGCCGCTTGAGGCTAGGCCTGTGATGGGCTCCTGGCCCTGCGCTTCAGTTGAGCACACCTGGTGGCTGAAGCGAGGAAGGGGCACCTGGGGAGCAGCAGCCCTGAAAGCCCTGCCTGCCTCACAGAACAGCTGGAGAGGCCCATCCCAACACACTCTGGGCATCATCTCTCCCGCTCTTTCAGTCCGGTTGGCCGGTCCATTTCGGAGGGGCCTGAATTAGGGCCTGCGTCCCTCAGCTTCCCTGCTCGGAGACAGCATCTGAGCCCCTCGTTCCTCTGCAAGGGAGAAGCGCAGGCCTCCCCTCCCCTGGGCCCGGCTGGAAGGCCAAGGCCCCCTGGCTCTGCCTGACCTGGCATTGAGCAGCCCCCCTTGTGGCTCATGCACCACGGATGCTTGAGGGCAGATTTGAGGGCTTGCCTCCCTCTGTGGAAGCTGTGGGGCTGCTGCCTTGCCGGAGCCTCCGGCTTGAGGGAGGCTGCTGCTCGTGGAGGCCGCTGGTGGTGCTGATGGTGGTGGTGGTGGTGCTCCGAGTCAGGGCTGCCTTATGGCTCCTGCTGGCTTCCCTTTGGCGGCGTGACAGGAGGCAAAGCTGAGGCGGTCCGCTTGGTTGAGCTGTGGCATCCTCAGTATTGCTAGCCCTACCGGGTGGCATGCCTGGAGGGACTCTACCTGCCACTGCCCCCCTTGTCTCCCCTCCCTCCCCATCTCTCCGCCTTCGCTTGGCAGCTGGTGTTGCTGCTTGTTGGTGGTGTCGTGCTTCTCCTCCTCCTGGCCTTCCCCTGCATGCGGTGGAGGCTGCCTGTGTGCATGCGATCCGTGTCTCCTGCCCAGGGCTGCTGCTGAGCGACTCCTCCCAGCGCAGGCTGGGAATGGAGCTTCCTTGTTGCCCATGAACTAACTGTGACCCTCTCATTAGATGCCCCATTCCCCTTCGGCTGTGATGCCTGCATGCGCCTGTTCTGCAGTGGCTGTTGCCAGCCCTGACCTCCTGAAATGGGTGCTGTGGCCGCTGCAGTCTTTAATTTACTGGTGGCTCCCCAAAGAGGCCGGCCAATTGGTGCCGACACTCCCAGTGCCTTTAGGCTTACTTAGTTGAGTGCACGTCAGGCACTGATCCAGCCACGGAGTGACAGTGCTGTGGGGGACGTCCATCCAACTCCAGGCCTATGACCCCTTTCTAGAAGGAGGCAAACGCAATGGCCCCCAGGCCTCCACTAGATGTGAACCTGTGCAGTGATGTACCCTTCTCCTGCGACAGACAGGACTGCAGCTGCCCCCCTCCCACTGCATTAGCTGTAGCTGGAGGAGGCTGCTTCCGTAAGCCGGCTGCTGCCAGGGCCCTTCCTGGGACAGGTGCGCTTGGCTTCCAGATCCCCAGAGGCTGCATGTGCTGCTTATCCTGCCAATGTGCTGCATTTCTCGTGTTGCGATTACTTTTGTCTGTCCCTCTGTCCTCCCAAGATGATCACCGCAAGTATGGCCCGAGGTGGGATGCCAATAAGACCACGGTTCCCGCCCACCACCGCTGTCTCTGCCACGCCTCCGAGCACCATGCCTTTGGGTGGACCACAAATGCCTCAGGTACTTCGTGGAGCGGAGTGGGTTGTGGCTTGTGTGAGGGCTGATTGGCTGCTATTGGTCATCTCCCACCCTTGGCCTGCACTGGTGGAGGGAGGGACTGGGAGGGGGGAGAGGCACATCAGACTGAGGGCAGGTGCCGCCCGGAGCCCACAGGTGAGGTGAGAGACTGCACCTGCTCCCGTGTGAGACGGTGATGCTGGCATCCTCAAAGCAGGCATGACCAGTTGGGGGGGGGGGGGGCCCGGGGGGGGGGTTTTTAACAAGGGATGATGGGGAAGGGAATTTTTTAC